GTGCCGATGATAGCGGTCCTGGTGTGACATTGTCGAATGTCTGTTGCGGCGTCTGCTGTGCAGCGCGAGGCAGCGGAGTGCACACGCTCGGCCCATATATGGATGCGTGGGACAGTTACCCCCGTCTATTAGAACGTAGCGTCTCTCCACGCGTCGAGCCGACAACGTGGCCCGTCGCGTCAAAGGACTTTTGGCACTCGCGCTCTGCACTTCATTCTCTCCCTACCGCACCTCGACAAAGCTATAAAGGATCCCGTTTCAACCATGATTCCCCATCCTCCTCCGCCAGTTTCACTCGTAAATCCACTCGACAATGGACCCTTCCTCCGCAGACCGCCGCGCTTCCCTCTCTTCCCTTTACCATACCCTCCGCGCTGGCGGGCCAGACGAGTTTGGCTGGCTCGCTAACGCAGCTGGCCGTTCAGCCTTTGACGATGAGGATGCCGGGCCCATGCCGTCCCCTTCCCCCACCGTATCCTCTATCTCCTCCACCTCCTCGGACCACTTCGACAAGCCTCACACTGCCTCTGAATCCGAGTGCACCTCTGACGCTGACTCGGATGCCGAGTCATCTCTCTTCGAGGACCCCTACAAGAACCAGAAGTTCCGCATAGTTGGCAACTACACTTACCCCTGCTCTTCTCTCTCGCCGTAAGCATCTGTTTCATGTCCATCCACCCCAGCTCCTCCATGCCATGGTCCCCGTATCTGTCTTTCTGGCTTCTTATAGAGCATTCTTTACCTTTAGCCCACCCGATGCCTTCGACATCCCTCTCGCCAATGTCGACCTCCAACTTGACGACGAGTATCAGCCCTTCTCCTTCGCCGACCCCACCTTCCCAGCACTCGGGCCCTACCCCCTCCCCTCCGACCCCACGCCCGTCGATGCCCTGCCACTCAGCATCGCGCCCTCCTCGCTCATGAGCTCGCCGCTCCCCGAGCCCGAGCCCGAGCTCGCGCGTCCCGCGTCGCCGTCGCCGTCGCTCGAGCTCCTTTACCCCGCGTCACCCTCCTTCTCCGCCGACGCCGACGGGTCCGACGACGACGAGTACGTCCCCGCGCACGCCGCCTCGCGCAAGCGCAAGCGCAGCCGCACCTCCGCGCACCCCGCGCGCCCGCGCCACGCCCCGCGCAACGTGCAGGCCCCGCCCGCGCCGCCGCCCGCGAGCGGCCGCGGCAGGTGGGCGTGCCCGTACTGCGCGTGGGTGCAGACGAACCATCGCGCGCCGGACCTCAAGCGCCATATCCGCACGCACACGCGCGACAGCGCCGACGGCCCGCAGTGGGTGTGCGGGATCGGCCCCGGCGCGAGAGGTTGCGGCAAGTCGTTCAGTCGGCGGGACGCGCTGAAGCGGCATTTAGATAACGTGAACATCACCTGCAAAGGCGATGTGAACATGGCCATGGTGGGCACGATGTAGATTTCTCTTCTAGTTGTTTTGATCTTTGTACGTTTTCGCTGTTTGGCTTTTTCATCCCCTCTTCGTCTCCGGTTTCACGTTTTCGCTGGTCGATATCTTCCTCTCCTCTTTGTCTCCGACTTCTACGCTGTTCTGATTACTTACGACTGTGATACCCCCCATGTACCTCCCTTAGTTAGTACCATCTGTTGTCGCTGTCGATGTTCTACGTTACATTTATCCTGTATCTCTGCGTTTGTCCTGTGCATCTATAGATTGTTGTCTAGATTGATATCTTTCATCGTCTGACACCCACTCGGAACCAGTGGTAGTAGGTGCAACCAAAGTGTGAAAAGATAGCTTCCTAGCACATAGCGTTTCTTAATCGTATACAACGCCGCAGAAGACACACGTGCGCTACGTCGCCTCATCATGTAGCAGAACATACTCCCTCGCCGATGTCCCGAACTTGAGCACTATACACAATATACAAACACTCAGTTCCAAACAGCAAAACCAGGCATATGACGCACCATCGCTTGCCTTCAGCTCGTAGTACCGCGTTGTCGGTATGGTTTCGTCGTTGACATGCGTCCCGTTAGTAGATTCAAGGTCAATCACAAAAGGCCTGCTCGAGAATGAGTACACATGCGGATAGCACGGAACGTTCGCTCACTTCACCACTCCCTTGGACACGCCGCCAAATTCATCCTTCACAGGCACATATCGGACTGTACACACATGGCTCAGTGTCCAGATAGACATGTCGAACTGTAACAGAGAGGAACGAAATGCCACGCACACTGGATGACCGCATGCTGCTTCGAACACGACGGGTGGTCGATCGCAATGTCCGCAACCGTGTGGTCGCGTCCGATCAGATACGCACTCTGCCGGTGTATATGCAACAGATCTAACCCCACACCACACAGAGAAGTGGAAATCAGGACCCAACCCTCCCTGGATCAAACGCACAGCGACGCACCGACTTGCTCCTGGCCCTTGAACACATACAGCCGCCATCCCTGGCTCGGCTTGCGCGCCTCGGGCGGCTCGTTGTACTTGAGCAGCGTGCTGCGTCCGTCGGCCGTGCGCACCGTGTTCGTCGCGGCAGCGAGCAGCCCTGACGGGGCGAAGTTCGGCTTCGCCTTGTCCTCTGCGGGCGCCAACGGCGATTTGGAGCGCGGGCGAGAGGCGGGGCGACCGGGAGAGCGAGGGCGGGATGAAGAGGGTCGTCCGGGCGAACGTGAGCGTGGGCGCGAGGCGCGAGGTGGAGGTGAGCGTGGGCGAGAGGTGCGCGGTGGAGGCGAGGCTGAGCGCCGCCGGCCGTCTCTGTCTCTTTCCCTGTCCCTGCGGTAGTCGTCCCTTTCTCTGTCGCGCCGGTATCGCTCACCGCGGTCGTCTCGGTCCTGGTTGCGCCGGTAGCGGTCGCTGTCGCGGTCCCGTGCGCTCTCATTGTCGCGGTCTCGCCTGTCCCGGGGTGCAGACGATTCGTATTCGCGCTTGCGGCGGTACCGGTCGGCGTCGTCAGCATCTCTTCGGCGCCGGGTAGAGGATGGGGAGGGGGAGCGTCTTGACATCGTGTTTGTGGGGGAGAGGATGGAAGGCGAGGAGAGAAGCTGCAGACGAAGTGCAGATGGGAACATATTACATAATTCGTTGACCATCGCTGGCCGCCTGCTTGCAATTGACTCCTCTCAGTCTCTCTTTCCTCGCTCTTTCCTGTCTTCTGTCACCACTCGACGACCCACCCGCCATCTGTTGCAGTCTGTCTCCCACGCATGCTAATCCATATCCACGCTGGACTGTTTTTTCTGTCGCTTGGCTTCTCCACTTGCGTGCTAGGTCGTCAAGCTCAGAGGCGGCTGACCAAATGCATATGCTCCGCGAATCTCTGGAGCATCGCCACACGATCTCCACGTCCCTCATCCTCTTCGGTATTAACATTTGACACCTCATATAATGACGCTGGGCGTGAGCTTGGATCATGTCTTGGCGCGTATAGTTCCAAGAACATTTATTGAAGGATATCTCCTCATCAGCAAGCGCTCTCCATCTTCAACATGGTGCGTACGCCCCTGTACAGCACTGACTCTACACAAAGACAGGGCTTGTTGCGAATTTCTGTGCCCGCGAAAGCGCGAGATGCAACCAGTGCAGTATGTCCTCCCTCTGAACTTGGATGGACTTCAAACGCCATACCGATGGCAAGAGCTACTTCTACAGTCGTCGGCTCATCTTAGGCTCTTTCTATGCGACGAAGCTCTTGACCCAACCTTCAACTTCAAGCCAAAACATGGTTACGCTTCACTATTACTCGACTTCTTCCCTTGGGGCTCCATTATACCCGCCTTGATCGACCCATTCCCAGCTAGTCGTGCTACCTGGATATCAGACCACAATTGGGGACAATACTCCGACAGTCCTTTTTTTCAAGTCCTATCTGTCTCTCGCATACATAGAATTCCGAAAGGTGTGATTCCTTTACTTGGACATCTGGACAACAGACTGGCACCTTCCTGTCTAGAAATTCCCGTACATAAGTGAAATACAGGTCTACGGTTGCTTGACCACCTTCGGTCTTTGTCACCCGCCAAACAAGTCTGCTTTCGGCCGTTTCTCTCTGTGGGTCTTATATGCAACAATGTTCTCCATGTCTTAGCTCGAGCACAACTCTGTCCATGAAGTGTATTCAAACCTTGTATAGGTACAATTTTACACACGAGCTTACGCGCGGGTGCCTTTCCAAGCTGCTAGTTTCTCTGCAACAGTCTCGCGACGGGCCTTTCATTATTTCTCACTTCTGCAGGACACGCTCGGTCGTTCATGATCGTCTTCCTCTAGGTGACAGCTGTAGAGGCACTCGTCCTGCAGCAATTGACCTTGATAGTCATATTCTACTACCCTAGCTTGTGTGAGCTACAATAGATAGATATTCGCAGCAAGTTCGCAGTAGTAACTGGTGTGCGAAGCATGGAACCGACCGAATGGCGCCATGCCTCGTTCTTGCCTGCCTGCCTCATTGGGCCTGCCGATGTCTCTACTGCACCTTCGGGCAGTCTTCGGGCCTGAGCATGTGCCGTATGTTCAGAGGATTCCTCCAATCAGAATGTAGCATTCGGATGGCCAATCAACACCTTATATCTATCATCTTGTGCGAGTGCTGAGCAGTTGAGGCGGCCGATGCAAGATGTGCTTCCTCATGAAAACCTCCTCCAGTTACATTGCAGCTTGCTACCAGCATGTCTACCAACATCAAACATCACTAGAAGTTTACATTCTGACCAACCATCCATCAAGCATCATTCGCAGGGAATACACTGGATTTCCTAGTGTTTTTTGCGCGGTGAAACCTTGTGAAAGGTCAACTGCGTCCTCCTACCCCCTGTCCGCCTTCATGCTCGTACTTTCTTATATACAGCTCCAGAAATTAAGCGACGTCGTGGACACGATCTCCCTGTCATTGGCTACGATGTGTAAAAATTTCGCAAATTTTTGGCCAGCCAAAATCGCGTAAACTTGACTTCCTCCTCATGACCCCTCTCCGACCTTCTAAGGCTCATAACTTCACGAGGTCTCAATCAAAAGACTTCAAACAACTCGGATATGGTGTAACGGTTTAACATTGCCGCCTCTCAGTGAACCTGTCACGTGACCGCGGCAGCTCGGGGTTCGATTCCCCGTACCCGAAGAGATCTTTTGCCCCCTTTATTTTCGCGAGTATTTTGCTCATTGTAAGCCCAATTCCACACTGGTTGTCTTGTAAAAAAATGCACTGGATTTGCAGGAGGAATCTTTACCGTTGAGATATTTTTTCCGATTTAATGCTAACCCGTCTAGGGTCCAAAAAGGATACCATTCCCGCTCACTCCTTGCTCGACACTGCTATCTGGAGCCAAACTCCGAGTAGCCCCCCTCAACCTGCAGCCATCCAAGCCATCTCATTGACTATATAAGATTGTAGATCACTCTTGGCTAATGATTCCTCTTCGTAGTGGCTCTCACTCCGCAATATCTTTGGCAAATGTCATGGCGCGTCGAGACGCGTCGTGTTGATTAGCGCGACGCGCGGCGTATATGTTTCCCACGGCCTCGGCCCCGAGTCTAGTGGCTTCCGGCGCGTCCATTAGTGACTGTCTCTCCCTCGAACAAGGGTCAATCGAGACTTCCATATCATGCGATGCGTGAACCGCATGTGCCCTCCGTCAACGTTGACGGAGGGCATCAACCTCCCAGTAGGTGCATGCAGTTTACTGTGAAAATGTCTTTGTTGTGCCAGAGCACTGTATGGAACGCCTAACCCCGCCCAATTCGCATTATCTCCTCTGCACCCCCGAGCTCCTCGCCTCCCTCGCGCCCGCCGGCTGGGCGTCCCCGACTGGAGTAGGGAAAATCAACCCCGCCGAAATCCACAGACAATTACGTAATGAACGCGTCGCGTACAACTTCACGAGTCACTCCCTTCTTGGGCGCAAAGCCACACTACTTACTTACACTCGAGCGACTAGGCTATGACCCCTCGCTTTCTAAGTAAAGCAATACACAGACGCCGGAAACACGAAAAACTGCAGTCTTGCTATGTCTCCATCTTCGACTATCTCTGACTTCCGCAAAGTTCTGCATGACAGCAAGAATATCGTGGCTGTAGTCGGCGCGGGCATGTCTGCAGCGTCAGGTGAGAGCATCAGCCACACCGCTCGTCATAGCCATAACATTCTGTAGGTATTCCTACATGGAGGGGTTCTGGAGGGGTGTGGAAAACATACGATCCTGCTGCCATCGCTACGCCACAGGCCTTCGCCGCGAACCCCAGTCTGGTGTGGCACCACTATCATGCGATGCGCGAACGGCATGTAGCATCTCTCGCCCTCCTGTCATTATATACGATTGACCGTGACAGCATATCTTCTGCGCCAGAGCACTCCAAGCAACGCCCAACCCTGCGCACTTCGCGCTCTCCCTTCTCTGCATCCCCGAGTTCCTCGCCTCCCTCGCGCCCGCCGCGCAATTCACCCTCGTGACGCAGAACATCGACGGGCTCGACGTGCGGGCCGTACACGAGACCGTCCAGCGCTTCGAGCAGGGGCGCGCCGCCCCCGTGCCCGCGCCCCGGGTGTACGAGATGCACGGCCGTGTGCTCGACACGCTCTGCACGGCGTGCGGCCACCGCGAACACAACCCCGCCAGTCCCCTTTGTCCGGCGCTCGCGGTGTCCGAACTCGGCAGCCCGGGCGCGCCGATTCCCGAGGAGGACCTGCCGCGCTGCGCGCATTGCGGCGGCCTCCTGCGCCCCGGCGTGGTGTGGTTCGAGGAGCTCCCGCACCATTCGCGGGAGATTTGGGCGGTCGTCGATGGCGCGGATCTGTGTCTGCTCGTGGGCACGTCTTCGCAGGTCGGTGGGTTTATGTTTGTGACGAGACTGTTCGCGCTGCTGATGCGTCGGAATGGTGTGCAGGTGCAGCCTGCCGCTGCATATGCCTACGAGGTTGCGGACCACGGCGGGAAGGTCGCCGTATTTAACACGGAACGTAGCGGGGGCGACGAGGATCGCGAATTCCTATTTCTTGGGCCGTGCGCAGAAACTCTTCCCCGCGTTCTAATCAATGGCGAATGATGTCCTTGACATCGTTGAGTGTGTGCTGCCCAGTCCATCTACTTCCCCACCGCGCTGCAGGGCCACTGGCCTACTAATAGCTCCAGATCGAATGTAGAGGTCTTCGCGCAACATCATTGTTCTGACAGCTGCGAAAGTATAATTGAGCCCAAAAGCAGCTTCCCCATGTCCCAAGAAAATAGCAGTGACTTCGTCAGTAAACTACGATATGGATATATGTATGGCATCGACAGCGGTTCGACAGCAGGCAGTAAATAATACAACAAGCACAAGCACAGACCCAGG